AGCTGCTGGACTGGGTTAGAGGGGATCTGCTGTTATGGTTTGATCTCTAACTGTACTGTTAGTCTGTACATTCTGTACTGTTTGTGGTAATAGGAGAATGTGAAGGCCGTTTACAGTGAGCACACATAATGTAATAGTTGGTGTGAGAGCAATGCTGTGTCTCCTCTCTTGCACTTAACAAAGCACTCCTATGCAGCTTGTACAGGACATGCAGATGTGGCTGCCAGTTTCTGGCCAGGGTCCTCTGATAAGAGAAAATTCTTCTGAGCCCACTACCCAAACACATATGTGTGTCTATGGCTTCCCAGGATTAGGGTAGAGATGTGGGGTAGCTATGGTGTGTTGCTGTTTAGGGAACTGTTAGTCAGAGGTGGTGGGAGGAGGCCCACTGAGTCTTGAGTTTTACTGTCTCTAGGGGTTTAGCTCGTACCTGTAGACCTGGGTCCTCAGCTGCCAGTGACAGAGGTTTTAAGACTTTATAACTTTCAGCCTGAAGTTAGCTTGTTGGAAGGAATGTTTATTAACTGAAGGCTCTCTGGAAATTGCAAAGGCTATGAATGGCAGGATATAGAATTAAGTCATACCTCTGAAATGACAGTACTGTTCAGACAAGTTGGAGACAGGGAACCATGGTGTTCTGTGCACTCCGCGCTATTTCGCATATTGGAAATGCAAGTGTGAAGATTCAGGACCCCTAAAAAAGAGTATATTTGAATGGAAAAGATGCTAATTGGTTTCTGATTACCCACATCCCATCTTAGCCTTCTCATGTTTAAGGGCACATTTATCTTCAGTTGCAGGATATAAAAGTGCAGCCTGAGGTCAACCTACTATATCACCTATTCAGCGACTTATTAAGCTAGATTCCCGTAGTCAGTGGCCTTCTGTGAGCTCCTGGTATGCCCACTAGTCAGTGCAGGGAGGCACCAGGGCGGGAGGGAAGTCAGTTGGTGGCATCAGTTAGCCACTCAATTCTTGAAATGCCCACCTGGGAGAAGCAGGCAACCTGAGAATGCCTAGGAACTTGGACCTGTCCCTGGCCTGTTCTGAGGCAAGCTGGGTATAAAAATTTATTGTCTAGTAAACCATGGGTTGTAATCATCACAGCCCTGGCCCCTGGATTTAGAGGAGCAGCAGTTAGGTATGACTTAATTCTGTATTCTGCTGTTCCGTATGCCTGGCTCCTAGCTTAACGACACATAGGATGCTTTCAAATCTTCATCACAAAACTCACTCCTCCAGTCTAGCCTCCCTGAGTTTTATGACTTCCACTCTGGTTTGGTTCTCTACTGGGGAGCTGGGGAATGCTTCTGGGGGTATATATGGACTTCAGCACTAGTTCTGTAACTTGGTCTCTTTATATTAAATGTGTTATTTTGTGTAGGAATGTTTCTTTCAAAAATGGCAGAAAGACAAACAGGCCTGCAGCTCTAAAACAGTGGCACTCTTTTTCTCCTCTTCCAACTGGGCTGTGTTTCTAGGATTAGACTCATGCTTGTGAGAAGGGAGTCGGGTTGCCTTTTTCCCCGCAAGCAAAAGCAAATTAGAGAAAAATAATTGTCTTTTAATGATATGCAGTATATTAGTCACTTGCTGTCATACTCTGAGGCAGGGACCATTTGCTGCTAGCTTACATCTGCTTGGTGCTGTTTGGGGTTTTTCAGCCTTGTTGTGTCTAGTCTCATGGAGCAAGGATAAAATTAAGCTCTGAGTATCTACAAAAATTCATGGGCCCTCCACATACTGCACTTTTTATGGCTTCATCTTAGGTGTTTAGAGTTCCAGGATTGAGCAGCAATTCCTATTGTTTCTTGTAAATAAAAATGGGTGTAGGCTTTACCCATTTTGTTGGACCTCATCACCAGTCTTCCCTGGACTCCCAGACCTCCGCAAACCAGCCTGCAACCTGTGGGCAGACTGTAGGACTTCTGTATAAGAAGCTCCTTTGTGCTTCCTCAGTGTACTAATAATAGTCGTTATTAGCCCTTATGGTGGCTGGAACTTGTTCCTTTCTGTTGAGTAGAGGGGCGTGTTAACTGCACTTCATTCTTACAAAGCCATACTGGAGACTGAAATGCTTTGATAGGACCTCAGGGTGTAGTATCATGCTGTTATTCTAGATCTGACTATTCTGGGCCTGTCTTTCCCTCCTCCTTCCCCAGTAGACGTTTTGTAGGGACCTAGTTCTGAAAGGACCAGATCCAAGGTTATGCATGTGCTTGGGAGGGGGAAGAATGGCAGATTTATCATGTTTGATATAGGTTTCCTGTACTGGGACGTCTTTTGTTGAGGGACCCCAAATTCCAAGTGCCTCCAGTCTCAAGTATACAGATGATTCCCTAATTCTCTGGTATGTGGCGCAACAAGAAGGAAGATGTCAATGAAGTGACCTGGAGCAATCAGCATGGAAAAAGGAAGTGTCCCTTAGTGGTGCTGAGCTTGGAGAGGTCCCAGTCCAGGGCTTTGCTTTTGGATCAGGCTGCCACTGGGCAGCGTGATTTTGGCAGGATCCACACCTGTACCTTTCACCCAGAACTTTGGAAGGTTTTGCACTGCCCTCCACCCACAGTTGATTACACTTGGTTCACATCTCTCTAGCAGGCCATCCCCAGAGAGCAACACTTCAGTGTGGTGGAAAAAGAGTCCAGGATGATGGCTCATTCTGTTTGGTGGGCTTGGTGGTATTTTCCAGGAGGTCTTGGGTTATACTGGTGTGTCAGTGCAGACACACGCCAGCTGCTGTTGGCATCCACCTAAAGTTTCTTTTCTTCAGAGATTCTGGCAGAGACCAAAGTTAGGCAGGGGACTTCGAAAAAAGAAACTTGGCCGTCTGGCTCCAGTTGGGTTGCAACAGGTGTCGGGGAAACATGGACTGACACAGGGGAAGGCCAACCCTTTCCCCCTCTGTACCTTGCTCCTGCAGAGTGCCAAGTTCACTGACTTTAGAACCTGTTTTCTCCTGATTTCCAGTGCTCTGTATTCCTTCCCTCCTTCTCTACTTCTCAGTCTGTTATGATTGCAAAACTTAGGGTCATGGTTGGGGCTGGCCCAGTGGTGATGGCGGCAACAGTATGTGGAGGGGCATCGGTGATTTCCCTTGGTGACATTTCTGCCCCTTCCCTACAGAGGACCTGGAGGGTTGGAGTCTCCTACCAGATACACTTTGAAATTATACAGAATGCTGTACATGGGAGTGATTTTCCTTGTCAGCTCCTGCCACACTAGGTATGGTCATATATGGAGAACTGGGTGACTGGTTTGTGAGATTTGGGATGATTTAATGGAGCTGCTTTCCACTTTGTTGGTAGTATTTGAACAGCACAGAATGCAGACTTTTGATGGTGTCAGTGTTGTCCTTGGTGCTTCGTGATTTGTGTTCACTCATTCAGCATCTCCCTTTCCACCTGAAGAGTTAAACTCTTCAGCTTTATTGCAGTGAAATTACAGTTGCCAGTGGCGCTGCTCTTTGCTCAACAGACCTGCATTTTTAAGACGGTCACAAAAAACTCGTGGAGTAGCTAAAAAATGCTTATGTATATGTAGTGTACAGCAGGATCAAACAATGCACTATTTATTTATTTATTTATTTATTTATTATTATTTATATTGCTATGTTCCTTTATCCTCTGCATTAAACCACTCAGAATGTCTTTGTTTTGTTAAAATGGACTTTGTTATATGCCTAGCACTAGCGTTGCTCTCCCACAACTTGATTTGTATATTTGGAAAATGGAAAATAAGCCCATTAGTCCCCTCCTCAGCCTTTTTGCGGGGGATGCTGTGGCTAAAGTGTTGGAAACTCTTTCTGAAAAAAGAAATTCTTCCTACAGAGATACCTTTTTCAGAAGCCTACTACAACCTACACATCTCTGCATATTTCTGCCTCATTATTGAGCTCTATGCATGGTACGTATATGCTCGTGGATCTTGGTAATGGATTTGTTCTGTGTGTTGATGGAGGATGCTGGTGGACAAAAGACCTAGTTAGAACAAAGAAATGCAGACTTCTGGGTTTAGCTAGACTTCTGGGTTTAGCTTTCCCAAATTGCCTACCAACCCCTCTCTTACTTGCTCTCCCGAGTGTCCTGATTCCCCCCAGGTGTGTTATGTGCTTCACTGTTTAATGCTTGAAACCGTAAAAACACACATTTCTGTATCTTTCCTACTAAAAAAGGAACTGTATTGACTTAGAAATAGTGTGTGTGAGGGAGGATATGGGAGATTTCCACTGATAATCTCCACCCCAATTATTTCATACTTAGCCTTTGGACATGTGTGAAAAGTAGGCAGAGAAGTTGTTTCAGAGTAGGCAGGCAATTGGTGAGGGCCATTTGCCCCACACAGTAAAGTCTCCCCTACGTATTAAACTAGTATTACAGGCAGGTTGTGGGCTTAAGCACAGTAGAAAGAGATGAATAAAATTTAAAAGAGCAAGTAAAATCCTGTGTGAGGATAAGACATGTAACATCATAATCCTGTTAATAAGAAGCATTTTGTCTTCACAGTTCACTCAGGTAGCCAAGTACAATATGATGTGGTTGTGGCTGATGGTTATGGATGATAAGGAAGGGGGAGACTTTGTCTTGGTTCCTCTGCCTTGCCTGTCTCCCCCTTGAAATAGGTAAAATGAGTGTCTTTTTTCCACCCCTGTGGCCCACACCTGCCACTCTGGGCTGCTTAAGACTTCTGCCCACACTCTGATTTTGTGTCCCCAGGCAAAAACCACTCAGTATTAGCACTTAACGTATTCTAGGATTTGGATAAGTCAGCTCACCAACCATGGACTCTTCTTAACCCACAATCTGTAAAGTATACATATGACAGTCCTCCTCTCTCTAACTCCAGACTGGACTATAATCATGCCTTAGTTTTCTTAGGTGTGTAACATTTAGGACAAGTTATTTGTGGCCCCCAAGCCACAATTTCTTAATTTGTAAGACAGAGAAATATCTAGTCTGAGAAGAATGAAAAATTGCTTTGACTGATGCCTTGCTTTCCTATAGCTTGCTCCTTCATTCCCTGTTGCCCCCAATTCCCTCTGATGTTGGCTACACATTTGGAAATGTATTTGGACCCAGATCTCCTGACACACCTGTCTGTTGTACATTCTGGAAACCCAGAAAGTATCAGTGTGTGAATGCCTGTGACTCCTGACATCTGCACTATCCACGTTCAAATGTGCTCCTAAAAGACTGGGAAAAGGAACTATGTTTTGTTTTAACCATCTCCCCATCCCAGTGTCTCTAGCCAGAGAGGTTAATTTCCCCACATGTACATTGGGCCAGGTGTATTCCCTTGCTCCTGCACATCCGTAGACCATCATGCACAATCTGCCTTCCTGAGTCTGCATTCTGTATGAATTTCCTACATAGAGATATTCTGTTTCCTTCTTTGGATCTTCTTTTGTTTTACCATCCTGGAATTAAAAAAAGAGCAACAGACTAGACCCTTGAAAAGCTGCCGTCAAAGAAGAGGACATCTCTTTAGCAACTTTCTGTATGGGAACTTCACAGATGGGTGAACAGTGAGAGGGATGAGTGAAGACTGTCTGCTATTGGTGTGAGGAGAGAGAGATGGTTTCTTTTCCTCGTGCTACTAAGTGGAGTGCATGTTAAAGCGCACCTCACCTTCTCACCATCACAGTGCACCCAGAAAGGATGGGGGAGAAAAACCTCCACCAAGCTGCCAGCCCTTGATTTACAGTTTTAACATAAAACTGGATTCAGAGAAGTGTTGTGGCCCTTTAAAAGACTTAGCTCCTAAAGTGTCCTTTCAGGAGCACTTTGTTCTTAATTTGCTATTTTATACTTATGAATGAGAACTCTAATAATGTGTGTACATGTAATCACATAATATGTGTTGTTTTGTGACCCCCTTCTCTTTTCCCCCTCCCCCTCCCCTTTTCTTCCTCCGTCCTCCTTTTATCTTTCTTGTTTACGTGCATGCTTTTGCATCACTACTTTAGTTATTTTTATAGGTTGGTTGTATTCTGGTGTATGAATATACTATATATTTTGTTTATTCACCCCAGGATGGACATTTGAGTTATCTCGTGTTTTGGCTATTTTGAGTAAAGTTGCTAGTCAACATTGGACTGTAAGTATTTGTTTGTACACCTGATTTCAACGATTTTGCTCATCTACATAGGACTGGAATTGTTGGATTATATGATAATCCTGTTTAACATTTCGAGGAACTCTCAGTGTGTTTTCCACATTGCCTACACCATTTTACATTTTTACTATGAATAGGAGAGCTCCAATCCCTCTACATTCTCTTCTTCTTCTTCTTCTTTTTTAATATGTCTTTATTGATTTCAGAGAGAGGACAGGAGAGGGAGAGGGAGACAGAAACATCAATGATACGAAAGCCATGGATCAGCTGCCTCCTGCATGCCCCCGACTGGGGATGGAGCCCGCAACCTGGGCATGTGCCCTGACCAGGAATCGAACCTCAATCTCCTGGGTTCTAGGTCAACATTCAACCGCTGAGCCATGCCCGGCTGGGCTGCATCCTCTTCTTGATGTGCTTTGTGACTTACTGTGGTAAAATATACATAACACAAAATTTACTGTTGTAAGCATTTCCAGTGTACGGTTTTGTGGCATTGGATACATTCACATTATCATGCAACCCACCACTATCCACCTTCAGAACTTCATCTTCCCCAACAGAAACTGTTTAAGTGCCAATTACACAAATAACTTCCATTCTCCTATGACAACCACAATTCTACTTTCTGTGAATTTGACACCCCATTCTTTTAGTCACCCCATATATGTGGCACCATAGAGTAATCATTCTTTTGCGACTGGGTTATTTTATTTAGAACAATGCCTTCAAGATTCTTCACTGTTGTGTATGCGAAAATTTCCTTCTTTTGAAATTCTCATTGTATGTAAATACAGTATTTTGTTTATCTGTTCATCTGTTAATGGGCATTTGGATACTCTGAACCTTTATTTCTAAACTTAAATTTATTGGAGTGACAGTGGTTAATAATATTATATAGCCTTCAAGTGCACAATTCTATGATACAGCACCTATGTTATGTGCCCACACTCAAAGCTAAACCTCCTTCCATCACCATTTGACCCTCTTTACCCTTTACAACCCCCCAGCCCCCTTCCCTCTGGTAAACACCATACTGTTGTCTGTGTCTGTGAGTTTTTGTTTGTTTTTCTCGTTTGTTCGTTTGTTGCTTTTAGGTTTATATCCCACATATGAGTGAAATTATATGGTTCTTGACTTTTTCTCTCTCTGACTTATTTTGCTTAGCATGATATTCTCGAAATCCATTCATGTTGTGCCAAGTGGCAGTATTTCATCTATTATTATGGCCGAGTAGTAGTCCATTGTGTGTGTGTACCCACATCTTCTTTATCTGATCACCTAATGAGGGACACTTCAGTTGTCTCCATGTCTTGGCCACCGTGATTAATTCTGCAGTGAACATAGAGGAACATATATCTTTGTGAATAAATGTTTTCAAATTTTTGGGGTACATACCCAGAAAGAAGGTTGCTATTCTTAATTTCTGAGGACCCCTCATACTTTTTTCCACAGTTGGCTGTCCCAGTTTACATTCCCACCAGCAGTGGATGAGGGTCCCTTTCTCTCCACAACGTCTCCAACACTTGCTGTTACTTGTCCTACTTGATAGTAGCCACTCTAACAGCTGTGAGGCATACCTCATTGTAATTTTGATGTGCATTTCCCTAATGGCTACTGAAGTAGAGCATCTTTTTGTACATCTGTTGGCCATTTGTCTGTCTTCTATGGAGAAGTGTTTGTTCAAGTCCTCTGCCCATTTTTATTTTATTTTTTATTGTGGACACTATTACAGAGGCCTGCCCCAGCCCTGACCTTCACCACACTATTTTCTGTGTCCATGGGCTATGCATGCATATTCTTTGGATAATCTCTTCACCTTTTTTTATCCAGTACCCCCCACCAAACCTCCTCAACTCTGCTATTTGTCAGTCTGTTCCATGTACCCATGCCTCTGGTTCTATCCTGTTTGTCACATAAAAAACGTATTCTGTCTGGCTTATTTCGCTTAGCATAATAATCTCCAGGTTCACTCATGCCATAGCAAAGGGCAAGAGTTCCTACATTTTTTCCTTTTGTTTTTTACAGGCATGTATTATCCCCATTGTGTAACTGTACCACAGCTTTTTTACCCACTCTTCTACTGATGGACTGTTTCTAGATCTTGGCTATTGTAAAAAATGCTGTTATGAATTTAGGGAGGCATATATTCTTTGAGATTGGTGTTTTGGGATTTTTAGGATATATTCCCAGAAGTGGGATTGCTGGGCCAAAAGGCAGTTCCAGTTTAAATTATTTGAGGAAACCCCATACTGGTTTCACAGTGGCTGCACTGCATTCCCACCAGCAGTGTACTAGGGTTCTCTTTTCTCCACATCTTCTCCAGCACTTGTTTGTTGATTTATTCGAAGTAGCCATTCTGGCAGGTGTGAAGGGATACCTCATCATCATTTTAATTGGCATCTCTCTGATAACTAGTGACCTTGAGTATTTTTTCATGTCTGTTGGCCATATGTATGTCCTCATCGGAGACCTGTCTACTCAGGTCTTTTGTCCAAGTTTCATTTTTATATTTTTAATTTTTATTTTTTAATTTTATTTTTGTTTAAAATATTACAGATGTCCCTTTTTCTCCCCAATGACCTGTTCCACCCCGTCCCATCCCCCTCCCCAGGCCCTCTCCCCACCATTGTCCATGTCCTTGGGTTGTGCATATATGCTTATAAATTCTTTGGTTACACTTTCCCCTCCAGCCACCCTCTCTCCTCCATCCCTCTGACATTCGTCAGTCTCATCCATGCTTCCATGTCATTGAATCTGTTCTGTTCATCAGTGTATTAAGTTCTTTAGATTCC